CTGTCCGGAGGGGAGAGGGGGGGAGAGGGAGGGCAAGAGGAGGAGAGCCAGACTCCGTGAGAAATCGCTCAGGCCCCACCCGCCCCGAGAGATCTTCAGGCTCTGCCGTGTCTTCTGAGCATGCCGGGCGGCCTGCCTAGAGGAGGCCTGCTTGGGGGCCGTCCCCGTCCACGCCGTCCTTCCCACGCCCGCCCCACAGCGCCAGGCAGCGCCCGCCTCACAGTGAAGCGCACCTGCGCAGGGACTCTGCTGGTCCGCCTTCTGCACAGGCCGTGCAACTCCATGGGCGGGGGATCGGTCGGCGGGCATCACGGGAGAGGGGGAGCTCGTGTCGCGACGGCCCTTTCGCTGGTTTCTGGCACCTCGCGGGCGCTTCAGCCTCCGAGCGGCGCCCAACCTCTGACGCCAGCGCCCAAGGTCGTCGCCGCGCCCACGCGGCAACAGTAAAAAAGACCCAATCTCATGTGAAGACAACAAAACACAGAAAACAAAAGAAGAAAAAATCAGCAAAAAATAAAAAAAAAATGAAAATTAACAAGAATTAACGGCAGACCATAAAAAAAAATAACACAAACAACAGCCTGCCGCACTGCCGCCGCTCCGCTTTTTGATTCTTCGATGTCGGCTCTTTTTATCATTCCCTCGCAGAAGTGGGACAGTGTTGGATTGTTCACCCACCCCGTGGGACCCCCGCCCGTCCGCAGCGCCCGCGCGCACGTGAGCGATGCGAAGAGAACTTCGGCTCGCACACGACGACATGGCGACATCACGCCGCGGCCGACACGGGCCGCCGGCGTGGCGCGCCGCGAAGAGACGAGGACGCTCACGCGCGGCCTCGCGCGGGAATCTTACGCGCGAGCGTCCGCGCAGTCGACCTTTGGTCTCTTGAGTCGTGGATAATTACCATGACAATGGACACTCGAACAGCCCTGTCATTGGATGTTAAAGGTGCATGTGCTAATGTTAGAAATTGTATAGAACATGTTTCAAGCATTAGCGTTGCATGTGTTAAGCCTGGTTTGACCACGTTTTAGGCATCTGGAAAATGATTGATAACATGCCTCCTCTCCACTGGTCGTCTTCCACAACTCTTGAGTCGTTCAAGTGGGCCACGGGTAAACATCACGAATGGAGGCGCAGCCGCTGGCAGCACGGCCGGGGCCAGACCTTCCAAGGAGGAGGAGGAGGAGGAGGAGGAGGAGGAGCGGGGGGGAAGGGTGGAGGTCCTCCTCCTCCTCCTTTGCTCCTCCTCCTCCTCCTCCTCCTCCTCCTTTCCTCCTCCTTTCCTCCTCATCCTGTCCTCCTCATCCTGTCCTCCTCATCCTGTCCTCCTTCTCCTCCTCCTCCTCCTCCTCCTCCTCCGCTTCTGCTCCTCGGCATCACCTTCCCTCCACCCGTTCTCCCGCCAACTCACCCTCGCCCCTCGTGCGTAAGCGCTAACGTGTGTGTGTGTGTGTGTGTGTTGGCCATAAGGGCCCTTCGTTACGCGGGCTGCGACGTTACTGGAGGAGGCTAACGGGGCAAATTGACAGTTGGATCCGCCGACCCCTTAGGGTCACGGCGTGTGAGATGCTTCCCCCTCCCAAAACCCCTCCCCCGGAGCCCTGGTCCGGCAGGTTTGGAGGGGGTGGGGTGGGGGGCAAATCCATCATCCGCACACTCGGAGCCCCAGGAGGCCCCAAAACGGGCTAAAAAGGTTCCAAGGGTTCGCAGAACGGTCCAAGAAAGCTACGAATCGACGAAAGATCGTCCCAAGACACCGAAGATCGCCTCCACATGGCTCCAGACGTTCCCAAGACGATTGAAACAATATTACGAGGCGCCCCGAAGAGGCCCTCCAGAAGCAAAAATCGTCCCATTCCCAAGGGAAAACGTACATTTTCAGCACATTCGCCCATTCGGCTTCCACACGGCGCAAAAAGGCCCAAGAAGCCTCCAAGATCGACCCTCGCCAGCCCAAGAGGCTCCCCAAAAGGCTCCAAGACGGCTTCCGGGCGATCCACGAAGGCCCCAGAAAACATAGCAACGGCCAAGGAAAGCCGCAGGACGGTCCCAAGAAGGCTCCAAAACGGAGCAAGAGGGCTCCCAAAGGCTGTCCGGACGGCCCACGCGGGGGACGGTTCGGTCCAAACCGCCCAAGATCGCCGCCAGACGGCCCCACGGGCGTCCAAGACGTTTACATACGCGACCACGAGGCGCTCCGAGTAGGCCTCCAGCAGCAAAAATCGTCCCATTCCCAAGGGAAAACGTACATTTTCAGCACATTCGTCCATTCGGCTTCCACGTGGCGCAAAACGGCCCAAGAAGCCTCCAAGATCGACCCCTGTCACCCGAAGAGCTCCAAGACGGCTTCCGGGCGATCCACGAAGGCTCCAGAAACCATAGCAACGGCCCAGGAAAGCCACAGGACGGTCCCAAGAAGGCTCCAAAACGGGCCAAGAGGGCTCCCAAAGGCTGTCCGGACGGCCCACGCGGGGGGCGATTCGGTCCAAACCGCCCAAGATTGCCTCCAGACAGCCCCATGGGCGTCCAAGACGTTTGCATACGCGACCACGAGGCGCTCCGAGCAGGCCTCCAGAAGCAAAAACCGTCCCATTCCCAAGGGAAAACGTACATTTTCAGCATATTCGCTTCTTGGGCTTCCACGAGGCCCACAACGGCCCAATAAACCTCCAAGATCGACCTCTGCCACCCCAAGAGACTTCCCAAAAAGCTCCACGACGGCCTCCGGGCGCCCCACGAAGGCCCCAAAAACCGTAGCAACGGCCCGGGAACGGCAGGACGGTCCTAAGAGGGCTCCAAAACGTGTCTAGAGGGGCCTCACAGGCTGTCTGGACAGGCCACGCGGCGGACGACTGCTGCGCCCCAAGGGGTCGGCGGTGTGGCGTAAGCTAATGAATCGTCGACCCTGGGTGGAGGCCGCCGAGATTGGGCCGAAAGAGGTGAGGTCGGAGGATCGCGTCGAGACGTTGGAATGGAAAAAAACAAGCTCCATTTCGCGCCGCATCGCAGATGCATCGCCAATGGAGCGAGCTTCTGACTACATCTGCTCCGGTCCCCGGAGGTCCATGGAGGCTGTCCAAGTCTGGAGGGCCATGGCGTCCAGCTCAGGGCAGGTCAGGTTCAGGTCCGATCGCGCGCAGTGGCCGCGCGCGCCCCTACAAGTGAGGACGGCGGTTGCAAAACGAGGCTGCAGCACACATCCCTCAAAACAACAACGTCGCTGGCAAGCAAATGCGGAACGATGAAGTCGTCCACGACTTCAACTTCGAAACCTGCAACAGAAGAGGGAACCAGCAAACACACTACGATGTCATCTTCCAGGGGCCAAGAAAAAAGAAACAACAACAACAAAAACATCCGCACTCACCTGCTCTGGCCATGGAGGCCTCCCGTGACCAGCCGTTCCCCCTTCTTCGAGGACCCCCCTCGCAGCAGCCCAAGATGTGCACGTGGTGCTCAGAAATCCGATTTCTTGATGTTTCAATAGCTGAGGTGAGGGCGTCAGAAAAGTGAAGGGGCCCAGGGACACACAAATAAATAGGCACAAATCCTAAGATTCCCAATCTTTCCTCATTCTGGGTTTTCGTCTTCCCCCCCCCACTGCCCACATTTCATCATATTTTCCTGGTGATCGACGGTTCATTGCGTCTGTGTTTTTTCCCTACTGATAGGCAAGGAACCCTCGAGTGAGGCACCGAGGGTCTGGAAGCTGGTGGAACTCCGCTGGAGGCTTTGCCATGGATATCACAGCCGCCCTCATCAGAGAAAAAGTCCCCCGAGGGCCTGGAGCCTCCTGGGCCCACTCCTGAACCGACGGTCCCTCCGTGTGGGTTGCTCGAATGCCCCGACCCTTTTCCCGGGGCCGGCTTTTCATCCTGCGCCGTCCATTGGGCGGCCCCCAGGCCCAGCGAGGGCCCCCAGGAGCCAAAGAGGGCGAACAACAGGCGTGATTTACCCTATCCTAAGTGGTGTTCTTGTTTTCTCTGGACACCCCCGCTGAGAAACAAGAAACGCCCCCCCGAAATCATAATCAATCCTCCGCACCAGCGCTAGCACTAGCATGAGCACTAGCATTAGCACTAGTACTCTCAGCATCATCACCACCACCACCACAACCATCCTCATACTGAACACGAGCATCAACTCCCTTTCGAGCACACGCGCACTCTCACGAAATCACTCACTCACGCTCTCGCTCACGCGCTCACGCACACACACACACACACACACAGACACACACAGACACACACACACACAAACACACACACACAAACGGCACACACGCACACACACAAAGCACATACGCACACACAAACACACACGCACACACATATACAAACAGCACGCACGCATACATACACAATTCATATGGAGGAAGTCTCGAGCGGGAGCCTTATGTGTGAGTGAATCAGAAAGGAGTCTCCCCGCACTTCATCTGAGCGATCTGAGCGGGTCATCTAATACCTGAAACTGTCGTCACATTTGGGCCCCTGGAAACTTAAACTTGAGGTCTCGAGCGGGAGCCTCGTCTGTGAGTGAATGGCGAGGACCTCTCGAGCGGAAGCCCCTCCCTATGGGGCCCGCGCTTCATGTAAGTAAAATGAACGGGTCGTCCGAAACGTGTTCGCCATCTTTGGGCTCATCAGGCTTGCATCTGGAGGACGTCTCGCGCGGGAGCCCCCCGCTGTGGGGCCCACACTTCGTGTTAGTGACCTCAACGTGTCGTCCGAAACCTGCAATAACTGTCGGCACCTGCGGCCTTCGAGAGACTGAGAATACAGCAGCCTGGAGCTGGCGCCTGGTGCGTGAGTGAGCGCGAGGGAGTCTCGGGCGCGAGCCACTCCCGATGGGGCCCGCACTTGAAGTAATTGGTTTGAGCGGGTCATACGAAGCCCGTAACTGTCGTCATGTTTGCGCTCCCCAAGCCGGAATCTGGAGGCAGTCTCGAGCGGGAGCCTCACGTGTGAGTGCATCGCAGGGAAATTTCGAGCGGGAAT